TTTATGCGCCAACATAAAAAGACAGGTGTATGTTCGCATGAGTCACACATTTTTTTTTATTCACACAATCAATTCGAAATTAGCGTTTAAGTTCGGGTTTAACAAACTGTTTGACCCCTTTTCAACACATTTCATCATATGGAATAAGCATTGTAAATAATGATTATTTATTATAACATTAAACATTATCACTACAAATAATACGAAATGGCCATAAACTAACATCAAAAATAAATTTAAATATTAAAAAAGAGACCTCTGCAGAAAAAAGAGACCAGACGAGTTAAATTAATTAAATAACAAATTTCAATATTACAAAAGAAAACTCTCAAGAAAATAATAGACGAGACGAGTTCATATAATTAAGTTAGATTATTTTAGTCACAAGAACAGGGGTTATACAAACTTCAGACATGATAAAAGATGGAATGATAACGAATATTCCGAAGTAGCTTTAAACTACTAAAGGAGAAACTGAATAGATTTGGCCTCTTCATTCTCTACTCTGAGAAGGTATACTTACAAGAAAATGTAAATTTTTTATTTATTATTTTTGATATTACGAAGGAATGGTGAATATCTAGGAAAAAGTAGGTTTCAGTTTTGAGAGAGTTTTCAAATCTTATCTAATTTGCTTTTCGTACAATTAATTTTCAATATTAACACATGAAAAAAGTTAAGGCTGTATTTATATATTGCCGAGATTAATGAACAAAACGCTAATTTACAATGTATGAAAACTTTGTATCACAGAAACTCAATGCAGATACGGAACAATACAGAATTAAGTTTCCATTTATAAGATTATATGGGACTACGTATTTCATTTCATATATTGGAAGAAAACTTTACGAGTATAAATGCACTGTGTTATCGAGCCCAGCCCATATTTTAGCGTTAATGGATCGACTTCCTGAAGCCAATATGCTTCTTTTAACATAGCCGCTGTGTCCATACTCCAAATATTTTCATTTAAGTCATATAAGTTATTTTTAAATATTTATAAAATGTATGAGTTATTATTTATTACAGTTATGTGGTTTTTATAATTAATTTGTAAATTTTACATCCTATTTTTTTTTATTTGATAAAGGGACAAACGAGCTGGCGGTTCACTTAATGTTAAATGATAACCGCCTCCCATGGACATTTGCAAGACCCTTAGGGCTGCAGAAGCGTTGCCACCTAAAAATAAAGTGGGCCCCGGCTACCTCACTTACCAGTGCCAAACGCAGAAGTGTAACACTTCTACTTTACGAATTACTGGATGTAGATTTACATATTAATGAGTTATAATACATATATAATATGCTTTGTCCTTTGATATGGCGTACGTTTTCCCTCCTCGCGCATTTGATGTTCATGTATTAATTAACAACCTTATCGTAATATAATTTTTTTCATATGGATATATCACAATATCATTGTTACCATCAAATTATTCTAATCTATCAACGTACAAAATTACAATAATTATGTTGTTCACGAAATCATCATAAATTATCATATAATATTTTCAAACCACATTAAAATTGCATTTCACTGCAATAAAGTTAAAGCGAGAATTTTCAAACAAAAATATCGCTGGGGTTAATCATTCTTAACGCGGAAACAGCTTGAAAGCTAGGATAAAATTTGAAAAAGAGAAGTTAAGTACGTAACGTGTTTAACGTTACGTACTTAACTTACCATGCTTAAAAATACTTTATAATGTTAAACTTTGCGATTATGTTGCGGAAAAAATAACAAGGACATGGGTTCGTATACAACTTTATGACCGGTTCACATGCACTCCATCATCGAACCCGGCCCAAATTTCAACGCTAATGGTTCTATTTCCTGCGACCAACCTGACAACACACCCACATCGAAATATTTTCATTGAATATTTAAGGCAAAATATAACTTATATTTTTAGTGAAGCAGTTAATGCCATTTACATTCTAAGATGGGCAGTTACTGAGCCAAAGGTCAAACAAGCCATTCGCGAAACCCTTAGACATTGTATCGCAAGTTTGATTCCTAGGCTTTTACAACAAATATTATTATGTATTCTGGTCCTTAAGTAACGTTTTATACACACTAGTAGCACACGAGAAAATACACAGATACAGAATTATCCATCCGGAAATCGAACGTGTGACTTGCGACAAAACCAACTGGACGGGCAACCGGACTCCATGATGTAAATTGACTCTAGCCTATATAGGTTCTATATTGATAAATACAACAATTCAACAATGTCTTTCCGTCCATGAAACGGTTACTTATATGACCCTAAAATGTCGCTGGTGTTCGCCCTACTGATGAACAATGGGCAAAATTATATGCATTTCTTTAATCATTGACTTATTTCTGATCTCGCAACCTAGATTCATAACCGGTGTGACCTCAAATCGATTAAAGAATCCTGACTATAAGGCACCGCTGACTGCAATTGATTATAAATAATTGTTTCTCGGGTATAATTACATCGAAACTGTTAGATTCTATATAACTACAAAATGGTAAGATTCGTATATCGTATGCATACTCTGAATTGCCAAGAGTCACATTAAAACCAAGTTATACTTTACAGTAAAATATGTTAATAGACATATCAGAATATAATTATTCGCGTATCAGAATATATAATTAGAAACTACCTAATGTATATATTTGGGGTAACAATAATACATATTTTTTTAATTATACACAGAGTTTCAATGTTTTGATAAGGAATACGTTTTCGTTCCTCATTAACTGTTGATATACATTAATTACGGAGCGTATCTTGAATTATTATGAATTTATCTATACCGCAAAATGGTTGCATTTATGATTCTATATGAATATTTTCTTCAAAACAAATTTGCGCTGTGAGCGAAAACTGTAAATTAAAAACAATTAAGCTAAAATATAATTTTGTTAGGTTGTATATAAACGCCGTTAGAATGGAAGAAAGAGCCTAGCAGCTGTTGCATATAGAGAAAATTACCAATCCAGATAATTAACAGAAATAATACATATTTACTTCCAAGTGTAAGTTTTTTCCGGTGAGTAATGTTCCTGGGGTCAACTATTAATGATTTGCAACGCACTGCAATGTCAGAGTTTTTGAATATCCCTGATGGCATTATTTATCAAAAACTATCAGGTGAATCACTCACGAAACCTATAAGAAACACCGAGCACCTCTATGCTTATTGTATGATCTTTAAATAAAAATAAGAAATGGTGATTTATACATATATCTCTTAATTGAAATTATTACCTTCTTATTTTTTATACGTACGGCCACGCAACCGCTTCCGCAGTTTCACAAATGGGCAGGTTCATCTGGCATCCGTCATTAGTCATTCTCCTCATGCTCCACGACTTGACGGGGTTATATTGTATTGTAACTGCGATGCACAATTCTCCCTACCATAGCTGGAAGCCTTTAGATTTGCTGCTCGTTAGCAATAGATCTCCCTGCTCGCTTTATGTTCCAAGGAATCTGGTGGTTGCTCATCTAGAAGCGGCTGCTTAGGCAGCTAGCGCCGGCGGGATTATGGATGTGTACGAGTGTTCCCGGGGCCACTGCCGATATGCGCCCTAGGTGAAGAATCGTGGTGGTTGCCCGCTCTTGCTCCACCACAAAGGTATGCACAAGTATCACTTATACGTATCCAAAGTAACGTATGCAAAGGTATCCACCACAAAGGACCACACAGTAGCTTCCGCTGTTGTAATGGGCAGGCTTGTCCGAGTAAGTACCACGCTAGAAACCCGGGGTGAAGTATAGTTATACTTTCGCGTTTCGTCTGGTGGGGTAGCCGGGGCTCACTTTTTAATGTCAGCAACGCATCTACAACCCGTCAGCTTGTCTGTAGGTGGCCAGGTGCGGCGGTAAATATTTAGCATCAGGTGAACGGTCAGCTTGCCAACTTTTTAAATTAAAAGTCATTTCCCTCACGTAAACAAACAGCTCGTCCGGCGTGAAATAGTTACAGTTTTCCGGTCCGCAATAACTAGGGCCCAATTTCTAAGGTTGCCACAAGATTTTGTTTGGTTGTTTTGCAAAGCCACAGCTTTCATTAATGTCCATGGGCGGTAATATCACTTAATATCGGGTGAACGCCTGCTAGTTTGTCTTTCACGTAAAAACTTACACTAAAATTTTACACGTAAACAAATAAAACGCAAGTAATTAGGTTAGAATTAAAACAAAAATTAAAGATAGTGCTTTATTCATTACAGAATCTATACAGACTTTACCGAATTACAAAACATCAACAATTTTAAGACAGAATGGGGTGACTGGCATCTCGGCGGGAAACGTCTAAAAGCCGCATTAAGCACATATTCGTTATAAAGACGGTTAAATAAAATTATTTGCAACTTAAACGGCTTCATACTAATATCAGTCCTTACTTAATTCCTACCATCGCCGATTATTTAAAATGATTATAAACCACTGCTGTGTTCAATTTACCGTATACAATCAAATGAGGTAACTGATAACAAATAAATAGAGTAACTTAATAGCTAAGGCGGCGGACACACCGGTTGTTTTAAATGAATGTAACGCGATAGCTGTACTTGATGTGTCCGCAACCGAAATAATTTTCCACTCTTAGTTAAACGGAGGTTGCATACCTATTATAAATAATGTTCTATCGAAATCAAAGCAACGGACGCTAGGTTCTTAATCTATTTACATTGTTAGTCACATTAATGATAACGAATCTGAAAACATTCTATAACACCGATAAGGATTTAACCCCTGTTCAAAAACCTCTAAGACGATAACATGAGTGAATTTAAAATGTGGTTGACACTACAAGACAGTTTCTTCTGGCTCTACTAGCTATTAGGGATTTATAAGTCGGCTTTTGGGAGAAACTTTAGGTACAGTCACAATCTGCTACTGTTAATGACGTGACGTTCGGTACAGACAGAATCTTGCGTTAAAAATCCAAAGAAAGACACGGTTCTCTGTAAGCAACCTCCGATGTAGAGCGTTGATGGCGCGGCTACACTGCGTTTCCTGCGTTGTGCATACCGCCATTGACGCTAAGTGGGATGGTATTAAATTCGTCCTCGAGGTCTTCGTTTTTCCTGTATCGAGAAAAAAATACCAACAAGTCATCATTTTCAACGATAAAATTCAGTAAATTTGGAGATTGACGAAGTTTTTGTTGTTAAAAAAAAACTGTGTAGATAAAATACATTGAGATTTTCGTCGGCGTGTGTATCAGCCGTGGCTTAGTGGTTAAAGCGTCTGGGCGCGAATCCGGAAGACGTAGATCCGATTCCCGCAGTGGTGAAAAACTATTACATACGATTTTATCTACAAATTTTAATGTTTTGTCTTAAGTGCAGATAAAGGTAAAATAAAAGTACAGGTTTAGTCACACGAAACTAAAAACTTCTAATGTTTACACGAAAATAATTCTACCTGATCTAAGCATGTGTCTTTTTTACTATTAAAGCCATTCATGATCAAATAAATACCTTGTCAATATTCTCTTAATTGGACTGTAATTAGCATTAGACATTACAATAGTTGCCATGAATTAAAATGTTTCTTAGTTTTTTTTCTAAACTCATTTACAGGTTAAGTACTGTAATAAGTTTTTTTTTTAAATTTAGTACAGATGAAAAAACTCGTGGTATGATATATCCATATAGGATTGCCTATACACGACACGACATAAGTTGGATCACGCAACAGTTTACCACATTGGCGAGGTTTACTCAAAACTTTAAACATTATATATTTAAATAATTATACTCCTAGAGTATTAAAACATGTAAAAAAAAACATCTAAATATTTTATCGTACACAAAATATGATTTTATTTACGTTGTAGCGCTAGTGAACATAATTGGAAATCCAAATGGAAAAAACTACAAATATTACTAAAATATAAATGTAACTACGTGCGTATCTTAACGTGAATTACGTTATCGTTAGTATGAAACTAAGTCGATTTCGTTACAATCAAATTATTGAAAATTATATAAGAAATTTGTTACGGAATTTATTGCACTAAAGGTATTGGAATCTTGACCCTTCAACTTATGCGCCGTGTTTTGTTTTATGATAGCGTCCGCAAAGCTACGTCGTCCTCTCTTCTAAGGCTATCCCTATAACGCGAAATTTCAATAATTGTTATGATTAAAATTTGTATAAAAAGTACGAAAAGATTGTCGTCGCTGTGGGAATCGAACCCGTTTAATTTTGCCATCTGTTTAAAAATATGCTAATGCATTAGGCCAGTATTTTAATTCATATCAATTCGCACGAATCAAAGTTTGAAACAATTTGTAATGTTCAATTGTCAGCACTGCAGTGACTGAGCGAATTTGAATGGGATTTGAAACGCAGATAGGTTATCCGCGAGAGCTACTGGAACAACACATTAGATTTTAATCTCTTTGATGTTAACTATTTCATTACAACAAAAGCTATGCGGTTGTTGGACAAAAACTATAGATAGAATAAATAATAAGTTAACTAGGGTGTTGTTTGCACGAACAAATAGTTCAAATTCGTTTCCGCCACAGAGGACAGCAACAATCATTGCAAATGGATGAACTTCCCGTCCTGTGATATCGTTCAAAGGTCAAGCAAGGTCGTGGCGACTTTATGTTAGTAGATTTTTATTAGGCACATCGGTTGTTTTATTGTCACACAGAAGAAAAAGATGGTTTGAGAATTCTAAAAAATATCATTTTTCTATTGGTGTTAGTCACTAATCAACGTCAGTCGTAAAGATGCATTAATAAGAACATAATTGACACTTTAGTTAAGTGGTAATTTACTTCTACAGACTTTGTTGGATTCAATCGGTGAATTATTTTATCTTCTCAAATGTTTTTATTTTTAATTGTTAGTTATTATTAAGGTCGCAATATCATAAGAAGACCTTAGAGGTAATGTTGTAAAACCTTTCTGAATTTGCAGTGGTACAGTATAGTAGAAAACTCCATACCGTTTCCTATATTTGTATATGATTAGCACGATGAACGCGTTTCCGATGAAGAGCGCCGCTATCAGAAGCGATGGAATGACGATGTCTGCAAAAATGAAAATCATTTATAACATTAGTACTATTATCATCGCCAATTCCAATTTCAGCGGTCTACATTCCCCAAATTACGCCATGAAGCTCCGTATCTCACTTTAGTAATTGCCTTCTATTTATGTTGTTACAGATTCCATTTCATCGTGAACTCTGCTAATTATTTATTGATTACTTACGTAAAAAGACATTAATATTTGAACACAAGAAGGAAGTCGCCGGTGGTGGGATTTTTCTATTAGAAAATATTAATTATTTATTAAAAAAGTTTTCAATTAGCGTGGTACAGCTGGATTCTTTTTATGTGATAATTTTCAATTTATTTTAGTATTCTGCGTGAATATAGTCTATGGATAGTTATATAATGTAATAATTTTTGTCTAATATTAATTCGTTTCCAGACAATATTAAATTCGACAAAAAGGTTTACTATAAACCAGATGAGGCCAACCATTGGAAATAGTGAGGTGATATCGTTTATATCAAGGTTACCGATACTTATATTTAAAAAAAAACAAAGTTTATGGATTGCAAAGATATTACCTCAGATTCAACATATGCCAATCAGTTTCAGTGTATATACTACGTCGTAGCGCTACGCCATATCATTAATACGTGGACATTACTTAGAAATGAACTCACCGACAATCATGTTTGCTTCGTTGTGCGGCAGTTTTGTATCTTTCTCTGTAACTTCCGGTGACGAATCGTTAGCGACGACTTTAACAGTCGTCTCTTCTAAAACAAAAGAATTATAATGAGCATATAGAAATAGAACAATCGCTATTTATTTTAACAAAAATACAAGGACATTAAGTTTATTATAAACTCGTATATTTTCTAACCAGATGGGTAAATAGTTTAGTTAGAGCTTATTGCTGTATACCTAGTAATGTTTAACGCCACTGGAATTCGACAAACTGAATCACAGCCTCAAGATCAGAACAGCAATAACCAGCAACCCGGATTCAAATCCCGGTGCCAGTACCAATGAAATCTTAAATTTTAAGTGCTAACTCAACACGTACTCAACAGAGAAGGAAAACTTCGTGAGGAAACCTGCATGTATTTGAAATAATCACAAAAAAATATTTCGAAGATATGTGAAGGCTGCCAATTCGCAGCGAGGTCGCGTCGACTTTATGACCTAAACTAGGGGCATATATATGATGTTACTTTATATTATTACACATTATTATAACAAATATGCATATTATAAATAGAGTTGAGGCAGAGTTTCTTGCTGCACGTCAAGAAAACACACATCACTGAACAGTGAACATGCTTATAAAAATCGTTGTTTCTTAAAACTTTAATAACTTGACAGCTAATGAAGATATCACAATATTTTTAGGAAAAGGCCAAGTGTCTAAGAAACCTCCGGAAGATTACCGGAGCCGCGATAGCTAACTTCGGGTGGTATCTTAAAATTTGTTCCTGGTCAAACTCATCTAGATCATTAAGATATTTCGGTAAAGGTGCAGATTTCTTACGTAAATTGTTTTATAATGCCTCGAACGTTTTCTTTGTAAGCCTCGAATGTGTGGAGACTGTTCTCACTCAGTAGTTACATATTATTCTGTCACATCTATGTAATTGTCAATGAATGACAGATATATTCAAAGCAATAAAGAACTTCATATTAACATAAAAAAAAAATTAAAGAAAAAAAAACAAAACGTCTTTTTTTGGTCAACTTCGCACTAAATTACTGATCCAATATTTGTTTTATACCAAGTTTAGGAATGAGTATAAAATATTAAAATCTTCAGAGCCTATCTTGAAAAAATGTCTTCGGCCGATATTTCCGAAACTATACACTTTAAGGCAAAAGTGATAGAAACCATTATTGTAGAGAATCAAATTTCGCTTCTTTCGTTTCCAATAAAATTATTCATAAAACTTACAGCTTACGATTTATGGCTCGTTTGAGAAACAGCTCTTTCTATTTCAGCTGCTATCTTATAACATTGTATCAGTAAAAAATGGTCTATCCATTTTAAAAGGTTGAATGATTCTTCACAATATTTATTTGAATTTTTTTAATGTAAACATATCTTTGAACATTTACGGACATTTAATATTGGACTACCGGCTGCACTGTAAAATTTCAAGCTATGCATAGAGTATAATGATACAAATTGGAGTGATAAGACCTCAGTAATTAACCTCGTAGGATAATGAACATAATTTTTAAAACAATAACGGTATTAAGACTGATTCGTCATTCATTTCCGAATTTCAATAAACTAAATTAATGATTAAATCTAACAACGATTCGTAAGTTTCACCACAACACTTCCTTCACAATACATTATCTGTGCAAAGACAAACTGAGATGAACTTAAGAGACCCCTCTCACTCGTGAAGCGTCGCTTGCTTTATGACACAGAATTAATAGCGTCTGCTGGAAACCCTCGCAACGCCAACTAGGTCGGACGTAACGCGATCCCGTGAAGGATTTTATCAAAAGAAACTAAGAATTTTACTTCATCTTAATGTATAGAGCCGTGATAGCCCAGTGTCCGGGCGCTCGCCTTTAATTCAATGTACTCGAACAACCTGAGTTCCATTCCCGGAGCCAGCACCAATGGAATTGTTAATTTTAAGTGCTGAATTACCTCGCGCTCAGCGGTGAAGGAAAACATCGTTAGGAAACCTGGATATTTTCGAAATAATAAAAAATTCTAAGATTATGTTAGGTCAGCAAAACCGCAGTGGGGCCGCGTGGTGGACTATGCCCTGACACCCTCCGTACAGAGTACGCCTTTACCCAGCAGTGGGAAACTTATAGGCTGATACTTTACTTTTTAATTTATACGCTACGCACATGTTATAAGATTATACTTCATAAAGTATGAGAAACTATCTTTAACTCATTCAAAACTTGTTAGTTCATTATTTATTTATTCGTTCATTATCAAATCAGCCCATTGCTGAGCGTACTTTTTCCCAAGGCGCGTACTACATTAAACCGAATTGACACTAATACTATAATTGTATTATTATCGACAAAATATAAATGTAACATAGAACACACATGTCCGTGTACTTCGCTAAGGATCGTAAGCTGAAACATATTTTTTATGTTACGATTAATGTAACTCAATTAAAACAATGAATATTGCTACCGATCAAGAAGTACAGAAGGTAAACCGAATACCTGTAACCGACACGATTCTATGTTGATACCGTATTAATTATTAGTGATACAACTGTGTAGTGTTGAAACTCGACTACGTTACAGTAAAGCAGTTCCAATCTCCGCAATTGCCATGAGACAATAGCAAAATATCGATAAAATCTATCGAAACCCATCACTAGTGCTATCATGATGTATTATGGAATGAATTCGGTGTATTACATAACCAATCAAGGGTAGAGGAGCTTCGATGAAGAGCTGACGCTGGCCGGCCGGAGTTACGTTTAACCAGTTTAATTATTACATTGTTATACAGCGACGCCGCTAGTGATGTAATAGATGTGATAAATATTACACATATTATCACACATCGATATCCAAAAAAGTAACTTGTCTTCGCCGGTAAAAATTATCACATTCTTATATTGTCGTTGAAACATCCAAGCCCTAAATTTTACAGCTTTCACTTAGATACTTATCATATATGCACCGATTAAAAACTATCGTTTAGTACTCAACCAATTCCTTGAGCTGAGTATTATAAAAGCTTCTTGCAAACTGAAACCTTAAGATAAATAATTACAAGGTTTTATAACATCAAAAATTGTACGATAATTTCTAGATGTTTTTATTACTACTTTCTTTTTATTAAGATTGTTGCCTTTTAAATGACTTTACAAATGTGCGGGAAGTCGATGGATGCAGGTGGCTCAGGATCGTGCTTCATGGCAGTCTGTGGGGGAGGCCTATGTTCAGCAGTGGGCTCAAACAGGCTGAAATGATGATGATGATGAGATGACTTTACCGCAAACAATCTTACTATCTCATGATGCATAAAAGTATAACCCACATCTCTATTTCTTTCTGACTCATTTCTGAGATCTTTCGATATCGACGAAAATCTAGCACATCACTAGGCGTTGTCGACTCTTGTTCCCGCTCCTGAATTATTACTTTAGCGTTAAGTTGACGACGGTTGCGATGACGGCGGGATCTCTGCGTAATTGCTTGTAAGACGGCGCGATTGGCCCCCTTTGAGAGATCTGATTGTGCCATCGTGAAAATTCTCAGAATAATATTTGGCATTCGCTACGTAACCTATTTCAATTTTTCTACCATTTTCCAGGCAAACGGGTTCTTTTACGTGATAACTTGTCAAGAGAGCAGGCAATTTAGTTTTTTAGCGAATACAGCCGCCCGTGGACATCTGCAACATCTGAGGGTATGCGTTGGCAACATTTAAAATAATGGGCCTCGGTTACCTCACTCACCAAACGAAAGGCGAAAGTAAAATACTTCCACTCTCCGCCAGACTTTTATGAGCCCGTGGTACTTCCCCCAAGGAACCTTATTGTGCAACAACAGAAGCTACTACATAGCCCTAGTAGAGTAAAGGTTAAAGTTAACAATTTTTCTGTCTATTTCGTAAAACCTCTATTAATCGTTTCCATTCATTATTAACATTTCATTGTTTTCTTGCTATACATAAACAGCCCCATTTCTGACATTGAAAAAAGTTGGTACTCTACTTTTACTATAATTGACACATTTCTAGAACCATGAGCAAAAAGTGCACTCTCTTGAAATTTCTATCCAATTCGGGAGACAAATTGACTTTTTTCGAGTCAATCTATAGATTGACATAATTTAAAAAAAAATCAAGAGTACTTTAAAAGAGCCGAAGTAAAAAATTGCCACAGGCGAAACAGCGCTGCACTATTTTTTAATTAATAAAAGCGCCAACTGGGGCTTTCGAACATCGCGTAAATTCAAGTGGTATTATTACGGGCCATCCCTCATGTTGCTGAGAATGAGATCATTTCAGTGGCTCCCAGTCATTATGGTATCGTGTGCACACTCGAAGTGACGTATCACTAACTTGTGAACAACCAAATTGATACAATGCAAATAAGGATAACTCATACGATGAATACAATAAGTTAATAATTAATTCGAATACCTGTACTTTGTTTTTAATTAAGAAAAATACTAATTTTATCACGCACTGGAGAGAACCTTATTACTTGTCTATCCTTTCTCTTTTAAAAGCTTTTATCACAAAGATTGATATCGGACGAAAATTTAATTTATTCAAAGTAACAAAGCCTGCCGTAGTCAATTACGTGAGAACTCGTAAGACATAATCCATTCATCCATCTTAACCACGCGATGCATGTTTAGAATGAACCACAGATATTTATGCGGTAGTATTTCTTAAATGTAAGGTTGCGTTACTATACTTCAAACCAAAATCAGTAAAAATTGTCAAGCGTCATTTGTTTTGGAAAAGTGACACGTTTTAAATGTAATGAATTTTAATATTCACTCACACGTTTATATGTGTGATTGAAGGACTTTGTTTATTATTAAATCATTTCGCTATAAAGTTTCCTCATAATGTAAACGTATAAAATTGCAATATCCGTTTAACCCTACGTGTTTGCGGCTTTATAATATTCCTTCTCTTTTCTTTTCTAAAATCACCCCTATCGTTAATCCTGTCTAACTATATCTGTAAACCAAACATCTATTACCTAGTGTTGATGAAACGGAAGGCGTAGTTTTGAAAGGTCTCCCACTAGATAGACCAACTATA